GACCCTTCATCAGATGAAGGGTCTAGGCCCGAAACGTCAGCCTCTCTGCTCCTATGATGCTGCTTGGCCTGCTGTGTTCATCCAGCCCTGCACCTTGTTTTCTAAAAATTGCACTGCTTTTGACATTCAAAAAAATGCATCTCCTCTTTCACATGTTGCAGATTCTTAAGAACCAAAAACAGTTCTATCTCCAATGTCCAAATTGACAAAGTACATATGGTAACACGTTTCACGCTGGCAGCTTGCATTGCCCATGTAAATGACAGATGAACCCGAAATCTCTCAGCAACCACTCTCACTGCACCCACCACCTGCCACTTCCCTGCTGGGAGCCATAACCAACCCAATGTAATTATCAGGAAAAGACGTTTCCATAGAGAATGCTGGTTCAGGCGGCATTTAAATGAAGGTTAGATGATGATTCGTTTTGCAAGTATTTGGTTTTAAATGTAAACTTTGTTGTTTTGCATATTTTGTTTGCAAATTAAGTTGTTGTCTCACCCTTTTTGACCCAAATTAATGACTTTCAAGTCTGTGCCAAATCTGTTTTTGATCCACTTGATTCCCTGAAGTTGAGGATCAATCAAGAGTGGCCATCTCTCACAGTTAGAAAAGATAGTGGCATTTTCCATGGATGTTTTATCACTGGGTAAGCCTTCATTGTTCCAGGCTGCAATTGTTGCATCATCTGAGAGCAAGGCAACAGCATCCAAACCTTCAGTCATTGGAATGGGAACCTAGATTTGGGAATGAATTCATTTAATGCATTTTGAACTGTTTCTTGTTTGAAATTTTGATACAGGAAAAACAAACTTAGAACTGCATTATTTATTGCTGTTAAATTTTAAACTAGCAAAAAACAGTTAAAGAAACAATTCACTTTGAATACTCTACATTAAGCAAAGTTAACACTTATACATAAATATTGCAATTTTTTTTTGCATGGGTGATATGTACTTAACATAATTAAAATGGCTTCATTCTATCACAATAAGCACAATCTTATTATTTATTAAGATCCAAAAATTCAGAAGCTATCTTTATGGATACACTGTCTGAAGTATGAAAGGGTAATGATGATTGCTTTCAATATCTCACTAACCATGCTTAAGCTTGGCAGAAATGTTGCCTCTTAAACAGCCCTGTGGACAAGTTATAAGAATGCACAGAGCTGACCTCATTTTAATCTCAACATGATTTATTTTCTTCTAAATTTTTGCAACTATTCATTTTTAGGATATGATCATTGTTGGCAAGGGCATAATTCGTACCCCATTCCGAATTACCCTTGAGAAGGTACAATGAATCACCTTCATGAATCACTACAGTTCTTGTGGAGTAGGTACACCCTGAGAGCTGATATGGATGGAGTTCCAGGATACTGACCTAATGAAGTTGAAGGAATTGTCATATAGTTCCTAGTCAGGATGGCGTGTACTTGGAGGGGAACCTACAGGTTGTAATGTTTCCATGCACCTGTTGCGATTGTTTTCCTAGGTGGTAGAATTTGTAGGTTTGGAAGATAATGTTGAAGGAATTTTGGTGAGTTGCTGCAATGCATCTTGAATATAGTGCAGACTACTGCCACTGCGCTCCAGTGCTAGTGGGAGTAAATGTTTAAAGTAGTGGATAAAGCGCTGCTCAAGTAAGCTGCTTTGTCCTGGGTGGTGTTGAAGTCCTTGAGTGTTAGTTGTGCCACAGTTATCCAGGCACCAGAAGATTACTCCATTACATATCTAACTTGTAACTTGTAAATGGTGGCCAGACTAGGAGAAGTCAGGAAATGAGTTGCTTACTCCAGAATTCTCAAGTGCTGACTTGCTCTTGTAGCCAGTGTTTATCTGGCTGATCCAGTCAAACTTCTGGTCAATGGTCTTCTCTCAGGATGTTGATGATGAATGATTCAACAATGGTAATGCCGCTGTTTGTCAAGGGATGATGGGAACATTTCTCCTTGTTGGAGAAGGTCGTTCTGTGGCACATGTATAGACTGAATGTTCCTAGCCACTTATCATCCCACGTCAGAATGTGGTCTAAGTTTTGCTGTTAGTGGGAACAGGCTGTTTAATTAACTGAGGAGCAATGAAAACTCCGCAATCATCAATGAAGATTCACATTTCTGGCATTATGATGGAGGAAACATAATTGATAAAGCAACTGAAGACAATTGGGCTCAGGACACTACCTTGACAAATTCCTGCAGTAGACTGTGGTGATTGGCTTTCAACAACCAGAACCATGCTAGCTATAACTTCAACCAGTAGACAGCAACCACCACACCCCCACCCTCCCAATTTGAATTCCTTCTGAATTCAGTTTTGCTCGGGCTCCTTAATGCTACACTCAGCCAAATAGTATCGACAGCAGTCACTCTCACCTCATCTCTGTCATTCAGCTCTTTAGTACATATTGTGGTCAAGACTGTAAAGAGGTCTAATGTCACTTGACCCTGATGGAATCTCAGCGGAAAACAGGTGAGTGAATGTCACATGATAACACTTGACAATACCCCATCACTTTGTTATTGATTGAGGGTAACTGATAGGGTGTACATGGGCTGGACTGGATTTGTCTTTCCTTTAGTTGACAGGACATTCTCAGCATATTTCCCTAAGACTTCATGTGGTCTGGAGTTAAGGTTGATGACTCCCAGGTTGATTCCATCGGGACTAACCTATCACTGTGTCATCTCCACAGGGAATGTAATGGAGGAGTCCAGGTCATTGGCTACAAAAGTATGGCTTTATTATGACTACGTCAGGCTGTTGCTTGACTTGTCTGTAGGACTGTTCTCCCGCTTTTGACTCAAGTCCCCAGATGTTAGTGAGGGAGACATTACAGAGTTGACTGGGCTGGATGTACCTTTGTCACAGCTGATGCTTAAGTTGATGATAGATGTTCTGTCCTATTTTATTTTCATTTGTCGTTTCTTTGGTAATTTGATACAACTGAGTGATTGGTCTGATGTTTAAAGAGTCATATTTCCCTCCACAAATAACATTAGTTAACCAGTTGTGTTTTTACAACATGGTAGTTTCACCATCAATATGCTTGTGACATACTTATTCTAAATTTATTTAATGAATTAAACTGAAAATACACCAGCAGATGCTTTTGTGGGATTAAATTTAGGAATCTGGCGCATTAGTCAGGTTTCTTGATTGACAAATCAGGGACATTACTACTATGCCACCACTCTCATTTTATTGTATCTTGCAGGTCCAACTGCATAAATTACATGCTCCAAAATTGGCATCATCAGTATCGGAAAGGTTGAACCACAAAGCAATTCGTGATTAGTAAGGGGATCAAATGTTATGGATGGAAGTCAGGAGAATGGGGTTGAGAAACATATCTGCCATGATTGAATGGTAGAGCAAACTTGATGGGCTGAATGGCCTAATTCTGCTCTGATGTCTTCCAGTGTTATGACAACAGAATAAAAAGTTTTTGAAAAGAAGCTCAGTCCAATTGCTGAGCTGCCAAGACAGGCCTGGGCTTAAAAATGTGGGCCAAGGAACAAAGGCAACAAACTTGAATTTGCAAAGTCAATGCCACTATATTTACATTATTCTTTGAAGCAGCTGACTTACGGCACGGTGGCTCAGTGGTTAACACTGCTGCCTCACAGCACCGAGGACCCGGGTGCAATCCCACCCTCAGGCGACTGTCTGCGTGGAGTTTGCACATTCTCCCTGTGTCTGCATGGGTTTCCTCCCACAGTCAAAAGATGTGCAGGTTAGGTGAATTGGCCATGCTAAGTTGCCCATAGTGTTCAGGAATGTGTGGATTGGGTCTTGGTGGGATGCTCTGAGGTTCAGTGTGGACTTGTTGGGCCAAAGGGCCTGTTTCCACACTGTAGGGATTCTATGATGATCCTATGATTTTATGAAAGCAACGTGTATGAGAGGTGAAGTTCATTTTGAAATTTCAAAAAAATGAACTAGATTCAAAGCTGCAACAGAGAGGGAGTGAACAGAGATGCTACAACACACTGTCAGGTTTCTTATTTAGTTTGATGGAAAAGGTGACTACTGTCCTGGTCAATTATGTTGATCATCCATAAATATAAACTTTTCATTCTGTTGTGGTGTTCACCTGTAAGAAAAGCAGACTGCACCCATCTTATTTCGTCCATTCTTCAGTTGATTTCAGTGGAGTTAAGGTTACAGACATATTCGACTGCCTTACAAATGTTTGCGTAGTTCTGCTTCAAAGCAATGCCAGATGGACAACGTTGGTTTCAACACCACAGGCCACAATCTGCATGGCTCTCCAGGTGATCTCAATGTGGAAGCTTGCTGGGATTTGCAGGTAGCGTCAAGTAGCTTTGTTCACCACAAGTCAATCAAAATAATTGACATAAAGTTGCTTTGAAACTGTACTATGTAAATGAAATAACTGCACAGAGGCCAGTATCCCATCACCAAGTAACTCTTTATTTACTTGTGGACTGTCCACTGGCTGCGGCCAACCAGCTCAGTCAGTCACCTGAATGGAGGAGATTCTAAACCTCCTGGTTATATTGGTCTGCCAGGGCTTTCTCGAGTGGCCTAGGTTAACAATCCCAATCAAGGACCTCGTAATCAACAAGATCCAGCTGGTTCCAATCATTATAATCCTTTCCCCCCCCTCCACTAAATCCTAGGATGTAGGCCTGGTCTTGCGACGTTTTCACCCAAGATCTGGTTCCTCTGACTTAGACTCTGGCACGGGTGGGGTGTACTGGACCGTAACCTGTCGCTCATACCCGGAGCATCTTGGGAGAACTTCCTCCTCTTCTTCCAGTGGTAATGGTATCGAGACTGCATCCATGTCGGACTCCTAGGTTTCCTCGACGCTAGACAGAGGGGGAGAACCTGCAACTTCCAACAGGTCTTCTGGCTGTTCTTAGGGGACAGGTATGTTTTGCCCCAGCCCCGTTTGTGAGATAACAGCTTTCAGGTGATTATGTGTTTGTTCCGGACTGTATCACCTACCCGAACTTTGTAAGTCACAGGACCTGACCTCACGTCAATCTCGCCCTGTACCCACACAGGGCCATTTCCATGGTTCCGGCACCAAACTTCACCCCCTGAATTAAACTGTTTCTCTCACTTACAGCAGGCACATATCTGGCATTGGCATTCTGGCTGTCGTTTCACCCTTCCCCACCTCCAAGTCTGGGAATATCAGGTCTAACCTAGTGCGGAGTCTTCTTCCCATCAGCAACTCTGCTGGAGCTATCTCTGTTGTCACATGCAGGGTGGTCCTATAATCGAACAGAGCCAGGACAGTTTGGTATAAAGTAACACTGTAGGCTGCTTCTTTAAGCCTGCCTTCATTGTTTGGACCACTCTTTCTACTAGACCATTGAATGATGGATGGTATGGAACTGTCCTTACGTGTTGAGTGTCATTTGACTTTAGGAAATATTCACATTCCCTGCTGGTAAATGACGTCCCCTTGTTTGTGACCAATATTTCTGGGAGGCCGTGTGTCGTGAGCGACGCTCGCAGCTTCTCAATCCTCATCCTGGAGTTTGCTGAATGAACTTTATGCACGTCCAACCAGTTTGAATGGGCATCCACAATGACCAGGAACATTCAGCCCACGAAAGGACCGGCATAGTCAATGTGCAACTGAGTCCAGGGTTTACCCAGCCATTCCCATGAATGTGGGGGCACTGCCAGTGGCAATTTTTGTCCTTGTTGGCACTCTGGGCACTGCCCCACCAACACAGCTGTGTTGGCATCCA